TGTAACTCAATAAGCATAATGTGCAACTAGACGTCTTCACACGCTGCCAAAGCCATTGATCGAAATTCGGCTTTAGCATTATTATAGGCAACCACAGATTTTTTTTTACCTTTTCAAGTGACAAGATTCCCTCATATAATCAAGCAATAACATGTGGTAGATTGTTTATCATGGATGGACTTGGCTCAATCAGCATCTGTATAAACTGCAACAGTGTGGGAATTGTGACCAGTGAACAACAAACCTTAGCCGATATTCCTTTTTGTTGGAGGATTCGATGAACCCTGTCAGCCGCTAAAATATTCTTCTTTCAAAAAATATAAAATTTACTTTTGATTTAATTTGATATATATATATATATATATATTGATTTTTTGAAAATAATATTTTAATTTTTTTGAATGAGACTGGATGGATATCATTCATTTAATAGTTTAAGTAAATGAGCATAACACCGCAAGTAACACACCTATCCCAAGAAATAGACACATTACTTGATGGTGACACTTGATTAAATAAATTAATGAATTCATGACATCTGTTTCGGTCTGCTAAATTTTTATTTTGACCGACAAACTCTCCTACATGATATTAAAAATTAGATAAGATTTATCTTACTTAGGTTTTTAAAGCTCCCTATTGAGGCAAGCCCCTATAGTTAATTATCTCTCAAATGACTGAAGTCACTTAAGAATGTAATTATCTCTCAAATGACTGAAGTCACTTAAGAGAACTCTCGATGATGATCAGAGGTATCTATTTTCATGAATCAAAGTTTAAGGTTTTCGAGATTGGACATAGAAAAGTCAAATAGGAAAAGGACCAAATGGGAACATTTATTTTTGGAGTCAAAATGAAATAAAAGTACAGGTTGTCACGGATCTCGAGGAGAGCCTCGGTGACTTCTCAAATTATCCTATTGTTTGACTTCAATTTTGAGAAGATGTTATTTAATGTTTCATCCTGCTAGTTTTATTATTTAGAGTTTATATTTGCGTGACACGATCATACAAATAATCTGAAATATAGGAGAATTTACGTTGTATCGGGCGACGACCTTGAGCATGTGTCTCTTCCATGAGCTAGTACGTTGTAATCTACTTTGTCTAAACTTCTAGTTTTCTGTTGAGCATGTGTCTCTTCCATTGTCGGAGGTGGCTCCTCCCGAGTAACCGCTTGTTTTCTTTTTTCCATCGAAGCCGTTCTCAGGGGTAACACTTTTTCTCTCTCAAATATACCTCCATTATCTCTTCTGACACTTTAACTGACTACTTTGGTGTTGATTCTAAATTAGAAAAGTCCAAGTTAATGACAATATGTGCTCCTTTACATTAGAGGACCAATTCCTCGCTTCCCGAACTGTCGTAGTTGGTGTTGTTGTTGTCCCCTTCACCTTCATGGAGGTATGTCGGGATTTCGTATGATTTGAGGATTGTTTTGGGAATCAAAATACGGGTTAAATTGGTTGTGGTTAGTTACATCATCACTAGAAACAGTCAAAACGTAGCCGAAATCGTAAATCTCTGAATTATAAGATCCCAGAGGGACAGAGATAATCGTACAAATTCAGGGATTCGTGGGGCATTTCCCCCAATTTCGACACAACCAATCTAACAGTGGCAGCCCTTGCTCTACTTTGCGAGCTATCGACCTTCGTTTTGCTCACGACCTCGTTCTACTTCATCTCCCGCTGTGGTGGCCTCTTTGGCGCAATAGCTATCACTGGCTTGGCAGGTTGCAGACTCTGAGCTGAAGCTTATGCTGACGCAATTTGAATCTGATCTAGTATCTTCTTGGAAGGTCTAGTCCAAACTGTGCACCATCCATCGTCCGCTGTGTATGGATCTATCAGAGAGATTGGCTCGGCCAGAATCATTTTTACAGAACCTCTTTCAGGTTCTTTTAAATATTCTTTCAAAATTTTTATATTTTCTTTTTCAAAATTTCTCTCGAGCCAATCTTTGAAGCTGAAGCAACCCTCTATGGTGTGTCCAAGTAATTTGTGGTATGGGCAATAATTAGGCTGATCTTTCTTATTAGCTTCCTCCGGTTTCTTTGACTCAGGCAATCTGAACTCCGGTTTCTTGATTAGATTTATGAACATCTTCGCCACTGCGTCATCCTTAAAAGAATACACTCTGTTCAGCCGAGTAGACATCGTCGGACCTTGTCCTCTATCTGCTTTGTAAGGTCTTTGCTGGAATGATTGTTGACCATGTTAGTTGTATTGTTGACCGTATTGTTGTACATGTTAGACATATTGCAGTGCCGAACATACTGTTGAGGTTGTTGAACATACTACGGTGGCTACTGAACATATTGTTGTGGCTGTTGTGCATACCGCTGAGATAGCTCGGCCTGAATCCGCATGGGTTGCTTGCTCTTGTCTACCGTTGCCACCGTTCTGGACTTCTTTTTGAATGTCTTTGTTGCTCTAAGCCTTTCAATCTTTTTAGAAGGCTCTGTATGCTTAATCTTCTCTTGTAGGCTACTGGCTTTGCTGAGTAGCTTTTTAAATGACTTGATGGTGAGTCCTTTGAGCATGAAAGCTATCGACCCTTGGATGCTTTTGAGTAAGACCTCAATCGCATGTTGTTCCTGTAATTGGAGCTCGCACTTTATGCTCAAATTTCTCCAATGTAGAATGTACTCCAACAGAAATAGGAAAATATTTGGTCAATCCTCCTTCAGTTCAAACTCAAGTAACGACTCTAGTATACATATCCTTAATGACTTGAATATAAGTCATATCAACATCTTTCTTCTCAAGAACTCTCCAAAGGTACTCGTGCACGTATATGAAAATTGATATTGATATTGATTTGTCTTAATAGACATAATTTTTAGACGGTGTTTTTGTGACTGGTGTACAGACTTAGAATAATATTGATATGTTATTCATATAATAAAGTTATTTTTATTGTATTAAATATTTTTATTGATTTATTAAGAGTTTGACTGACATGCATATTGTTTCTTTTTCTCTTGTATTATTGTAGTTTATAAGTATGAGTGTTCACTTGCTTCTTTGGCTCATTGTTATTTAGACTAACTTTTCGGATTAATTAAGTGATTAACAATGATCATTAGAAGAGATAATTTTCATAGAAGATGCGGACATCTAGTAACGAATTAATTTTAAATATAGTATTTTAATTTATTTTGATTAGTGGCTATTTCATATGTTAAATTGTAGACGAACATAGAAAATCTGTGTTCACTCTCCGACCGTCTGCTTTTGTTTTGGTTAATTTCAGGCTCTAGGTTAGGTCGTGACAAAATTTATAAAAAAATATGTATTCTAGGGTATTCCAAATTCACTTTAGAAGCATTTGGCTTACTTTAAAAATACATTAAAAAAAATTCTGCAAAATTGTGAAATCATGATCGTACAAGGAAAGAATCTCTCCTAGAATTTTTTTTTCCACTTTCTCAAAGAGTTAACGCTTATAATGCTAAAAGAAATAACAACTAAAAATTTTTTTAGAAAATAAATTGATTAATTTTTGTATATGCCTTAAAACTCTTTTTCAAAATAAAAATTCTCCTTTTACAATCAAAAAGTAAAAAAAAAACATCTATGAATGATAAGAAATGCCTTGATAAGTCGCAGATACCAAATCATTATAATTCCTTTAATCACATCTCCATCCATCCGCTGGTTGCAATATTTAGAATACCAGCAGATGATATTCTTAATTCGCTACCAAAGGTGCAGCCTTGCATTATTGGCCGAAATCATCCTGCCTTTATGCTTGTGCCAAATTCTAACTTTTAATATAATCATTCCATCAAAAAAATCTGCTTTTCAAAATATCCCACAAGCCATGTTGTCTTAATTCTCTTTTCCAAATGATATTTGCTGTCCTATCACCTATTTAATTAGAGGAGACATTGTTTGCTTTGATTTTCCCTTCAAAATAATGTTAGATATCCCATGTAAAGTGGGGAGTTTAAATTTGCATCAATTTGAATTAGTTTCTTAACCTTAGGTAATAGTTTATTACGTAAATCACTACATTAAATTAATTGTTTGAAAATAAATGTATGGCCCCAATCAAACTTCAATAGTTAAATGCATGAATATTTTTTAACAATATGGATAATTTACAATAATAATTGTAAACATATTTCAAAAATTTGCTTAAGTGATTTATGACCAGGACAACAAATATGATTTGAATAGAAGTTTATTAAATACTGAGTTATAACAAAAATTTTTTCACATTCAAGTTTTCAATATCATAATTCATGGTAAAGCCATTTTACTACAAATTTAAAATTAATTTTATGGAAATTACCCGCGTTAGGTAAGAAACGGAAAAGGCTTGAATAGGTCATAAATTGTAATTATCATGTCATAATTTAACACCACTGTGACGAACAAAAAATATGGACTAGGACATCACCTGTAAGTGACATGCCACCGTTTAACCTAATCATGCGAAAAAGCAAGAGTTGATTTGGTTCGCAACTAGGCTTTTTTTTTTTTTTTGCTATATTGAAATTTGGAAATTTTTATTTAGGAATGCTAGACTGTTAGTAGATGCTAAAAATACTTCTTGTATATGTTTTCTTGATACTAAATAAGAGGAAAATTGTCCCAAGGCATTGAGAAATCTTACAAGCTTTTGGATGTTAGTAAGGTTAACCTTGTTAGTTAGATGATGATATATTGTCCGGTTAATAGTGGTGTTTAGACAATACAGCAGTTTTACTACAACATTCTCCTGGTTATAAAATGCGTTGTAGAATAACCATTGGTAATTTTACCTTTTGATTATTTATTTTTTACAAGTTATAGCAATCAAAATTAAGTTAATCTGGATGATAGTTTGATTACCTGAGTTGTTATATTCAAAGTACCATAACCTCAATTTTAGCAGCAGATTAATGCTATCTGGATAATATTAAAGCAAACACTAATGAGCATCATTAACTCTTGCTATATGATCCGAAATGATGTTAATATTTTTCAACTATCGGTTACCCATCTGCAGACTTTAATTGCAAAACGGAGTGATATGGTTGTAATGTCTAGTGACGGGCCTCTCAATGCTTATGTCAACCCCAATGGCTACGTGCATGAAGTCATAACAGTCTTAAATGCCACCGGGCTGGCTCTTGCCGGTTCACCTGTTAAGGAGCATAGCTGGTTTCCTGGGTACGTGCCATTCTTACCAATCAGGCGCATCTTGATTTACTCTAGCATAACTGATGATTTCGGTGTTTCTATTGTGCAGGTATGCTTGGACTATAACCAATTGTGCTCACTGTGAGAAGAATATGGGCTGGCTGTTCACAGCAACCAAGAAGAGATTGCTGCCCAAATCCTTTTGGGGGATCCGTAGCTCTCAGGTTGTTGATGATACCATGTTAGACTAACAATATAAGCTGTTGCTGTTTAGTATTTTGCTTAAATGGCTTGTACTGTGGTGGACTTATTGATTAGCTGCTTTGTAGTGGGGACTCATTAGGGTTTGTGCCTTTCTGTCTTTGAGATGGGTAGTTTAGCTTAGTCGATCCTAATTGCCCTATTTAGCCTAAAATAATGACTTAATTTGGGTTTCTTTTATGGAACATGAATCCATTTCTCTACCTGTCAGTTACATGTATAGTAGTTGGCTTTCAGTATAAATCATCTTGTTATCATTAATCATATGCAAATTGTTATGATATTGTTTGTTAAAGTCCTCTTTTTACATGCATTATGTTTTATTGCTACAAGTTTGATAAGCCGAAGCTGATTCTTTTGTGGAATGAATTATGCATTTAAAGTCAAGCAGGTGACAAGCTTTATTTTATTTTATTTTATTTTATTTTATTTTCATTTGTTTGTTATAAAGAACAGATTTAGATTAAAAGTGAGAAAAAGTGGCATTGAATTTGAACATTGTATTTTAAGTTATTTCAAAATATTATAAATGCTATTATTATATCATTTAATTTATTTATAATAATTTTTGATAATTATTATGGTATTCGAATTTAACCTTTGTTTACAGCATGGAGTTGACCGGAGAAAGGAGATATTGATCTCCCTTCTATTTTAACAAAAAAGTAGAGATGGGTTGACAAGGTAATCTTTTAAAGAGAAATTAGCCTACATATCGCTTTAGTATTATGTAATTACATTTCTAGAACCCTAATTTTAATTTTTATGTCCCCTAAACATCTGCGTGTAAAGTTGGATTTAACCTTATGTTAGTATTATGTAATTTCTCATGTATGTATTTATATATTTAACACCCTAAATCAAAAAAGAAAAAAAAAAATCAATCATAATTCGCATTTTGGAGACATTGTAAGCATATCTATGAAAATCATCATAACTTCGAAGTGATGTACACACAACATATCACTGAGATTAAGAAACAAGTATCTATTCAATATTAGAGATATTATTCTAGGAAGAGTGAAGGGGTAGAAAGAAAGACGAGAGCCGAAATTTTCTAACCAACCAAATAAATCAATCATCCAATCGAATCTACACAAATGCTTAAGGTCCAACATGTTTAACATAATATCATTTAATACTTGCCAAAAAATCAGTCAAGATAATTGATTTATCCAAGATCCATACAAACAGACTTACTGTTAAGTTCAGGAACCAAACAAACAAAAAAACTTGCTTATTTTAGAGCATACGAGAAAACAAAATATCCTCAAAACTCCATATAAGAAACAAAGAAGAAAGATGTTACAAGTTGTCTTTCTACTTTCTAATAAGTAGCATCTTAATAGCATAGTGAATATCTTGAATCAAAGCATTCAAATCCATAAAAGACCTTTTTATGATTGTGTTGTTCCTTTCTTATATGATAAAGAAGCAAGAATAAATTCTTATTAATCTTTAAAGAAAAAAATTATCAATGAAATCAAGAATGTGTTGCATTCACTTAACATTAAAAAACTACATTTAAGGACACATATTTTTAAAATGAAATCGGTAAAATTGAAATTTAAAAAACAAATGATTATGTGTCTCTTTATGGTTAAGACAAAGAACATAAACTCCAATAGCTAAAATCCTTCTAAATATCAATATGTCACAATATTTCAAGCTATTATGTAAAGTTTTTTGAGCTTTAACAAAAAAATTCAAAGAGTAACCCTTGAGTCAAATATAATTACACCAACTAACAGAAGAGAAGTCTTCATAAGAATATATATATATATTATATATATATATATATATATAACTTTAAGATTGGTCGGAGGGAGAACCCACAACCAACCCCATGTTACTAATTCAATGCAAGGCTCGAACTCGTGATCCCTAAAGTCTTACAAATGCTGCCAACAATTAACCTTGTCGGCGTTACACACACACACACATAATAAACTTGCCATCAATGACAAGGATGCTGAGCTCTTAAGCAAAATCTAGAATATAATCTAGCTTTGTGAAAGAGCGAAGATTTTCTCAAACGACTTCACTCTTAGAAGTAAAAGAAGGTAAATTATATCAATTAAAAGTATTATGACCAAATCTCTCAAAAACTGAATGCTCATTTAACCAAGGGTAAAAAATTAAAAGCATATTATAGTTAAAATTGATCTGAAACTATAAAAAATTAAGAACTTTGATAGCCACTTTGCTCACATCTTTCCAAAATGTAAAGTTATGATTTTTTGTTTAACCCAAATAAAATCATAATGGGTAGTACACCATTTTTCCAAAAGTGAGGTAGAATTAAAATACCTCCAAAAAAATTTGGATTGGACATCAAATTAATAATATCAAGATTTGACAATCCAAGTCATCCATAATTTTTTGGTTTGGTAGAAGTTGTTCAAGCTATAAAATGAAGTTTTGAATTAGAATCATTAGAGAAAAGAAAAATATTGTACTAGGAAAAAAAAAACCTTCATAAGACCATTAGGAATAGAATTAGATCTAAACCTATAGGGTAAATAACTTCAAATGCAATTTTTTGGTTTAGATGGTGGCCCCTTCCAGACAAGGTTATAAGTTCATTGAATTTGTCTGTTTATGTTTTTTCTCTTCATTTAAACTAGATTTATAAGATCTCTCTTCTTTTTGTGAGCTTCACCTTCAATTTTAGGATTATGAGGTTGTTCATCTAGTTATAACATAATTCTTACCTCATAGGCTTTCTCATAATTATATATCATTTGATCGAAGTCCTAAATTTATAATAAAATGACATGATAAACATCAAATAAATTTCTTTCAAATCATTAAAGTCAAACAGTATGATAGTTAAGATATCATAGATTTTCTCATTATCTTTAACATCTCCAAATTTTCTTCCATTGCATTCAAAAAATAAAATGTTTCACTTTTGTGCCTCTCTTATTTGATATTCATAATGATCAATTGTGGAAATTAAACTTTGAATTTTTTGAAGATAAAATTTTAGTCTTAAACAAGTGTTATCTTAAGTACTTTTTTTTACTTTAGATGTAATTAACTATAAGTGTTTGCTCATATAGAAAGTTGGAATCCATATTTAATCCAAACCCTGTATGTTCTTCATATTAGATAAGTAAAATATTTTTCAATTTAATCATAGATCTTGCAAATATCCTGAAATTTATTAATTTATATAATTGAATCCATCGTATATTACTTTTAATATCATGCTTGATTATTTAAATAATTAATTTTTTAAATTTGTATGACTTTGAAATTACCCGTGTTAAAAAATAAAACCGACAGTGATTAATAAGCTTGAAGAATTATATGGCTGAATGTGATGGTCAATGTACTTTTCAGATACATCACATATACATGACAACAAAGCTAAGGATGTACGAGCTCCACCGTTGACTCATGATCCTAAATATTCACTAATACTACTTGTGAATTATGCATTTACATTGCTTCACCCCCATCGATTTACTAGATTTTGTCATCATATGATTTGTATTGGGGAGTACCACATGGGGCATATCTGGACAATCAATATTTTTATCTTTAGCTCTTTTGGTCCGAGGCCATCTTGTGTGACACACCAAGTATCAATACTTCCAACTTATATCAAAAGGAAGTTCAAGTTGCTTGTTTACACACCAACATATCATGCAACAATTTGAATGCACATTGCCACTCTAATATGTCAACAATTCATATCATATTTCATCTATTTTTTCACTATGATGAAGTGCATTTAGAGCAACAATAACATTACTTATAGAATAAATCACGACGTACTCTAAATGATCACATCCTACATGGTAGAACAATATCGATTAGATCACAAGTAGTTTATAATAAGGAATACATGTACTATGTTTGAAAAATATATTATATATTTTCTTCCATTTATCTTTCTTTAACGTTCCCTATGCACTAAAATTCAATTTATTATCTACACTTTTTGTATCATTATTTTTATTATATGTAATATTAAAAAAAAAAAAAATTGAAAGCAATATAACTCCTCTTCTATAATACAAATTTCATTCAATAAAATTAATATTTTAAATTTTAAATTTTAAATAAGTACTACCATAATATTTTTTTATAAATTTTTAAATCAATTACATAATATCATTTATTTAAAAAAATAATATAAAGTATTATTTAATAACAACCACTGTAGAATTTTTATATCAGAATTTCTTAGATTTCTAATGAGAAATGTACATATCCATTTCAATCTCAAAATATTTCTCTAAAATTTGCAAGAAATTCTCAAAGCCAACTATGGCCACCTATGGCCACAAAAAAAAAAAAAAAATATATATATATATATATATATACTTTAAATAAATCAACTCTTTTATTTATAAAATTTCATTTATATTAAAATTCAACCATGATATTCTTATGTAGCAAAATTTTGCATTTTGAATGGGATATGTTTATGTTCTTAAACAAAATTTATGTAATAAGAAAAAACCTAAACTCTATGTTGTCAATAAGTAACTGTAACTGTAATTGGCAGCATCATTCTTAATATATTTTTATAAATGCTGATTGCTTGATTAACTCTCAGGCTTCGCTTGTTTTTAATATTTGTCAAAACACACAAGTAACAAAAGGCTCCTCACTCAAATCTGTTCGTCTTACCAAAACTTTAAAAGAAGACCACAAACGAAGAAAAGCACTGATATATATATGTATACGTGCACGCACGCGTGGTGTGATGAAAAAACTCAAAACACCGAAATCAACTTTATTTGAGGTCCACCACATAGGCAAACATGTTAACATTTTAAAACAACAGAGTTCGCAAAAGATGGTTCAGCGATACGTGCGATAGACTGGGCTGTACATGCAGTTCTCTGCATATTTCACAAGGTTAGCTGGCCGTGGAAGATGGCTGGCTAAACCTGAAATATATTTTTTAAACATAAGGTTAGAAAAAAAGGAAGAAAAGACAATAAAATTAATTTATTTAAAAGGAGAAAAATACAAATATATATATATATATATATGGAACGAGCCGGCTCACCGAGTTCATAGGCTTTAGCCGCTACATTAGCTGCAATATGAGCAGATATCTTTCTGATATTTTTGAAGGGTGGATAAATTAATCCCTTCTCAAAATTCTCTTCAGTTACCTGCTGCGCCAATGCCTCCGCTGTTGAGGCCAAAAGCACATGTTAACATTCTCACTAAATATATATTCACTCATTCTACATATGGGCAAAATTGAATTTTATTTTTTATTTTGATATGTTATGACATGATTAATTATTCTAAAAATAATTTTTTTTAAGCTTTTTTAAAAAGCAAGTTAATTTATCTTCAAAAGCAAAATAAAAAATACAAATAAATCACTAAATAAGTAATTTTTTTAAATAAAAGAACATGTTAATAAAAAAATTAAAAATAAAAGTGATCCCAAATAGATTTTTAACTTACAAGCAGCAAGGAGCATGTCATCATGCACACGAATTGCTCCGGACATGACCACCCCAAGACCGAACCCCGGAAAAATATAAGCATTGTTTGCCTGCCCAGATGGGAATGAATGTCAACCAAAGCCATCAAAAAACCAAAATTTCATACAATCTTTCCAAATGTTCGAGGAAAAAATGATTCAACCTGGCCGGGCACATAAACCTTGCCGTTGCATTCGACAGAATCGAATGGGCTTCCACTCGCAAAAATAGCTCGACCCTGCAAATCACACGAGAATCAGTTAAAGCGGCTGGAATTCAAGCAGGAGAGAATAGGAGAATGGCATTACATTAGTCCATGTGTAGGCTTCCTCAGCAGTACACTCGGACTGGGAGGTTGGATTTGATAAAGCAAGAATGACTGGCTTCTGCATTTTTAACATAAGATCTATATATTGTCATTTCTCTCTCAAAAAAATAGAAATTCATTTACAAAATTAAAAAAAAATTATTGTTTTGTAGCTTCACATACCTCATTGAAGGAAGCAACAGCTTCAACAACTTCCCTTGTGAATGTCTTACCCACGCCAGATGAACCTATCAGTATAGTTGGCCTTATTGCCTGAGAAAATAGCTTTTTTGCATTAGCTGCAGCAGTCAATTAATTATCTTTGATCACATCAGATGATATTTTAGGCAAAATAATGCCAAAAAGTAGAATCAGCCCACCTTAACAGCATCTAAGAGGTTACCAACAGGCTCATGTTCATGCGCCCATGGTTTCTTGAAGTGCTGAAGTGATTCCTTGCGCGAACGGACGATCAATCCCTAGAAATAAAAGAATTTTCTTCTTTTCATGTAATAAAACACTGAAATAAATAGCTAAACCAGAGTTTATTTTTATTTTTATTTTTATTTTTTTGCAAATATGAGTTTAAAATGTTGGGAAATATAGAGTACTGATTTTAAATTTTGAGAGCGAAAAAGAAGATAAAACAAACAGGAAAGAAGATCAACACAATATGTATTTACACATCTAACATCCAAACTTTGCTTTTTATATTTATGCCACCCAAATATTTCATATCACATAAGAAATACCACCATTTTAACTTTTCAAAAGTGAACTACATCTTTCATGCTTAGGTTAAGGTGATATGTATGTAAAAATTAAGGTTTAGGTGTGCGTAGGAATTGAGTGGTATGTATGTAAACCTTAAAAAGAAAAAACACACACACACACACACACAAATTTTATTCAGGATAACTTAATTGATGATTACATATTGTTGGAGTCACTATAAATTTCACAATGATTTAAATTTGTAGAGAATATAACCTTATTATTTCAGATATAAACATAAGACAAAGGGGATCTAAAATATAGTAAATTTTTCAAAATGCCCTTTAATAAAATAATCATAAATATAATAAATTTCTTGACCTGTGACTGAGTCTTCGCAACACATATTCTTCATTTTGACTCCACGACTTAAGAACAGATGCCTAAAATGACTAGAAACATAAATCAAAATTCTCTACCTTGGAATCAACAAGCCAAATCTTCTTTCGAGTCTCTTCGATTGGAGCCTTTGTCTATAGAAAAGAAAATTTACTAAATTTCAGAAGGAATAGTATGTACCTCTAAAAATGTAATTAAAAAAAGTACACATAGAAGGATGAAATACCTGCTTTGAAATCTCGAGTGCTATGAGTTCAGCTATACCAGTACCAGCCTGTAAGTACCAATATGTAATATAAAATATTATATAATATACAAAGTAGGAGAGGATGGGCTAATATTAAGCATATAAAATATAATAGAAGACTGATAAAAAGAATAAATAAAGGTTATGAATAAATGCAAAAGTATGAATGTTCCTGACTGAAAATTTAACGACTTCATGAGACCAGGAACATTATCCAGCATAATAAATGTCAAAAAATTTAATGTGTAGAAAGTGATTGACCTCGCCGGCACCAAGAAACAGGAAAGTGTGTTCCCGTAAGGTTCCACCAACCAACTTCAGTGCGGCAACAACCCCAGCAAGGACCACTGAAGCAGTTCCCTACATTATCAAACAACTTACATAAGGAGCATATTCTACGGCGTATCAGAAGATATTCTTATTAATTTGTTGAAATGTTTGAGGACTATTTAGAAGCACAACAATGTTCTCTCATACCTGAATATCATCATTGAACACCAGATGGGTAGAGCGATATTTCGAAAGCAATTCAAATGCATTATGGTTAGCAAAGTCTTCGAACTGCATGAATTGGGTTTTGTTAAAACTATACATCCATGAAATGATTAGGAATGATAGTTGAAAGTAGATTTTAATATTTCATCTAATAACATAGAGAACTCATGACTATGGCTTAAAATTAAACATGCCTGAACAAGAACTTTCTCTCCATAGTTTTGCTTAACTGCATGCATGAACTCATGCAGAAGTTCAGAATATTCCTATCCAAACAAAGAGCTTACATTAGATATTTGAGCAGAATTGATCAAAAAATTGTTCATGACCTGCTTTTAACCAGTAATTATGGAAGGAAGATATACCTGACCAGTTGCACGCTTCTGCCTCAACCCAATATAGAAATCGTCCTTGAGTAATTCTTCATTGTTTGTACCCACATCAATAGTGATAGGAAGGCACTGGATAAATTGAGATTGGAAAAATTTAACGGGAAATGTAAATCATACCACAACAAAATTATACTGGAATTACTGATTGATGATAAAGAGATACCGCAGATGGGCGAATGCCCCCTAAAGCAGTATAAAGAGAAAGCTTGCCAACAGGAATTCCCATTCCCTGAAAGAATGATTATTTTATTTTTTTTATTTTTAATATTAGCATACATGTAAAGTTTGCATTAGAAGGACGAACTAGACAAGTAATATGTCATAATATGGATTACCTGGCAGCCAAGATCTCCAAGTCCCAAAATGCGCTCACCATCAGTAACCACAATAACCTGAATGTTCCTCTGAGGCCAGTTCTTCAACACTTCAAGAACCTTTCCCCTGCACCAACAAATTTTGTTGAAAAAATAAGAAAATAGAAAACAACCTAGTCTCCAATTAGCCTAGTGATTTCATACTTCTCCTTAAGACTGATGTATAAGCCCTGTGGACGCCTAAAAATGCACCCATATTTCTGGCAAGCCTCACCAACAGTTGGCGTGTAAACAACCGGTAGCAGCTCCTCAACATTGTCTATTAAGAGTTTGTAGAAAAGTCTCTGATTTCTCTCCTGAGAAGGAAAAATGATAATTTGTGTTGATCTTTGAGATTTTAGAAATAAAATAAAAAAGAAAAAAAAAATATTGAAGGAAGAAAGAAAAAAAAAAACCTGTAGATCCATCAGAGCTGTGTAACGATGCAAAGGGACTTGATACTGAGAAAGATTGTGCATGATTTTTTTTTCCTATATAAAATAATGAATAAAGTGAATTAAACTAAAAACAAAAAGGTTTCCGCATAAAACAGCATTTATTAACCTGAAGTTCTTGAGTAATGGATATTGGAGGCAGAAGTCCTCGCAAATAGTGGGCATCTCTTTCTTTCTCAGTGAAGGCAAGACCCTTGTTATGATGAGGATCCCTCAACAAAGTGTAGCCACTAACCAACAATAAATTCCGATCAATGGAAACTAAAATCGATTATTATGCCAAATTATATCCTCAGACACTTTAAGGTGTCCTAAGCAATTGCCAACTCATAAAACATAACACCTATGACAAAAGCAGTGATTCGAATTCAAATTTCCTCCGATAATTATCTGTTAGGATAAAAGTTTGAAAAGATAATGCGCATTCTTAAAAAGATCTTATAAACATATGATAGTAGCAGCGTAAACTAAGTTGAAATTTAGGGTTTTTAAGTTCCAAACTCAAGCTGATTGACCGTGAATGAAGATTGGCTCAAAGCCCTTCAGTTCAATCTCCAGTCAAGCCAAACCAGGCCATATGCAAGCTTAATTTGAGCGAGGCATGAACCATTAAGCTAGATTTAAGCTCAACAGCATTCAGGCAGACGTTATGCGCTTATAAACATTTAAATCTCGAGAAATTTCAAATCAATCCATACATGACTCAGCTCAAATTCAACTCAAGATAATGCATAGTTCATTAATTGGCTTGTTGACTACAACTAGAGCTAGGAAAATTGATCCAAATTTTTAGTGATATTTGACTTAAATTTGAGTCTCCTTCAATGAAAGTGACAATCAAGAAAAGCTAATGTCACAATGAGATAATTGCCACAGAATTCAAGTTGAAATCAACAATCTAGCACCAGCAAGTTTTAACACAAGCAAACAATCTCATACACAAGAAACTAATTTGGAAAACTTCTATAACAAACAAAGCCAGTTAAGACTACGAAATCAAAGAGTGTAAAGTTGTTAATTCTCTGGCTTCAAGGGTCAGACCCCATAAGCAAAAATTTCCCGAAACAGCTAAAAACCATAAGCTGCACAAAATATCAAAGAACAACCAAAAAAGGCCAATTTTGTGAAAAAAAAAACATAACCAGATTCAAAGAAAAAAAAGCAAAACAAAATCACTGGATCCGAGGATTTTTATGGAAATAATCTACGAAAATAAAATCATAACGCTCAAGTTGAAAGAACATGGAGATCCTCAGATTTTTCATTCAAAAAACTTCCAAAAGAAAAAAAAAAAGAATAATAAACTAACATAAAAAATTCACCTTGCGACTGAGACAGTCCACGGAGTGACGAGCTGCTCCTCCGTCGCCAGATCCTCGCCGTAGACGTCCTTGACGCCGCCAGCGACGGCGGATTTGGGGTGAATCTCCAGCACGTCCTCCGCAGTGCTATCCATCTGTGCCCTGCAAACTCAAAAGCAGTGAAGAAGAAAGCGTTCTAATGAGCACGCAGTACAGTTGGCCACCACCAAACCTCAATTTATGGACCCTCGAGAGCAATTGCTCGCAAATTTAACTCTTTTTTTTTTCTACTGGCTGACGAAACCCAATAATTCGGAAAAAAAAAGTACCCTTTGGTGGTGATGGACAACTCAGCCGACGGTTCCGTTTAAAAATTTGCGTCTTTCCAATTGGAAATTTATGCGTTTTGAGTATAAGAGAGAGAGAGAGAGAGTGCGTGCGCCAGCTTTGCTTTCTTCTCTTCCGCCCGAACGGGAGCTCTTTCCCGGAAACGCAGGAAAAGGTCAGCGGGGCAGTTTAAACAGTTTATGGGAACGTCAAATTAAATGGGCTACAAAAAGTATTAAATAAGAGAATTAGTAATTAGAAATTTAAATTATTAATAATTTGATATATTAAATTTATTTATAATGTATATTGAATTTTTTTTGGTAAAATATTAAGGCCACCTTCAATTTTATTAAAAGAAAACTGTGAGTTACAAATTAGAATTAGAATACAACTCAAATAAAAAAAAAATGACAAAAAAAATTATCACAATTAAAGCCACGAGTTAGAAAAGCTATTGAAAAATAATAATAGCCACAACAACCAACAAACAATAAATGAAAATAGGCAAAGCAGAAGCAGCAACTGCGATAACAACAACAACCATAATCACCAACAAATTCAACAAAAAATCTACCAACATAACCAACAACAATATCCTCAGAAATAGAGAGCACCAACCACCTTTATAAGAAGGCCAAAGAGATCTGAATCTCTAAAAAGTCAAGCAAGGGAGCAACTGATGTGTAGAAAAGAATGTTTAAATTTCTTAATGTTTTGCACATTTTTATTCATGAAATTGCACTTTAATGAAACATACTTTCATGTTTTCTTTACAAGTATAATAGGCATTGTAAGTGAAGCAATGTGGAGGAGACTTGGAGCAAATGAGCTAAATGGAGGACTGGCCCCAAGGCGTCAAACCCATGGGCACCTAGGCACCATTCACTCACTTGGAAAACTGAGAAGGCGAAGCTTAGGCGCCACCCACTAGGCGCCAAGGAGCCGCAACGCTGGTGCCTAAGCGCCACTCCCTTGGGTGCCAAGGTGCCCATGCTTTTCTATATAAATAGAGAGACTGGCACCAGGCGCCAGCAACTGCCTGGAGCAATTTTGGCAGTTTGGGCAGACTAACATGGAGAATCATGGAGAGTTGTGTAGGAGGTAATGGGGGGTTTTTATGCTTCTATAAATGAGTCTATAAAAGGGAGGTATTATTGTTGTTGAAGGATTGATGTTGGTAATTCTAGGGTTGGTGAATTTAGGGAGATTGATGTGATTTTGTAGCTTATTGTAGAATCTTCTCCTTCTTCTTCATCTTCTTCTAGGACAGAGGATAGAGAGATCCTTCAGGAGCAGTAGCCAGGAGTAAAAAGGAGCATTGGTGGAGCATTTTCAAGTAATTGTAAAGGACAGGAAGATAATTTTATTGTGTCCTTCTTATTGCAATTCTGTCGCAGATATTTGGATAGTAAAAATCTCTTGTTTTAATGTTTTGGTGTGTTGTTTCTTTCATTCTTTCTAAGTAATTCTCTTTACCGTACCTTGTGAAGATTAAGTTGGATGTGTAGGAATGTTATGTGTTATGAAATTGCTTTTACTTACTTATTGTGATAATTAACCTTCAAATCACCATTTATGTTTCATTATGCCCAAATGAAATGTTAAAATGTGTTGTGAACCACAATGACTCAGAAGAGTTGTGGCAGAATCAACTAGCTTAGTCACGTTGAACTGTGGAGCATAGGTGGATATGTTTCGTAGGGAGATGCAAATGTTAGAGAAATAATATTTATGGGGTTCAAATGAGATTCAAGGAATTAATGTCATCTTAACGAATCTTCTTTATGCACTCGGGCGAGGTGAAGAAGAGAGTTGCTCCTATTTATCACTAGCCAAATTTACAATTAACACTCTACTTACATCATTACAAGAGAGGGTAGCTTTAAACCCTGATTTTCATCAATCCAACACCTAGTTAAGTAGGATTTTTGTAGGATTTCAACTTTTCATTTGCATTAGATACTATAGGATTAGTTCGTAGGACTTTTAGCCTAATCTAAATTCTTAGCTAGGAACAAAACTAGCAGGTTAGAACTTTTGCTAAGCCTAATTCCATCATTCTCTTTGGAATTGACTTTCTAGACTCAAAAATCCGATATTACTAATACAAAACGTGCACTTGCATGAGCCTCAGAAGTGTAGTTGCATCTAGAAGCGGTACCAGCAACCAACAAAAGAATAAGACAAAACTAAAGAATAAAGAAATTATTAATAAAATAAGAAACAACTTACAAAGTGAATTGACAAAAGAAACCTCACAAATGAAAACTCCTACAAGTGAAAAACAAAATATTTGAGCTCAACACTTACCTGATAAAGAGAATTAAAATTCCTTCTTAATTTTAGAATATATATATATATATATATATATATATATATTATGGCAGTCTGTTTTTGCTCTGCTAGGGTTTGGGATCCATGGTTGTGCACCTTCTACTCCTCTCGGCTCCTCTTTTCTGTAATGCCTTTCTTTGGTTTGCTGGGTTCTTAAAAAGTGAACTTGGTAACCTCTTTCTTGGTGGTGGGATTGGTTTTGGTGTTTTTGTGTTTCCTGGGCTTTCACCTTTTGATTTGCTTGGTTACTGTTCCATTGGATTCACACTTCCTGGTTGGCTTTTTGCTTCTTCCTATTGCAAAGTTTTGTCCCTGACTCCTCTAGGCTACCAATAGATGTTGCTTTGCTGCAAGCAAATCCCAACTATATGGGGAAATCTTATGCTATTGCTGTCTCCCCTACCTGCCTGCTGGGAGATAAATTGGTCTTCCCTCAAACTTACCATGATGCTACGGTAGGGGATGAGGAAAGCTATCTGTTTAAGAAAGGTTCCAAGAAGGGTGGGAAACATGACCTTATTTTTTCTGAAAATGAAGTGGTTGATCTGTCCATGAGATGTAAATTTACCCTTATTGATAAATTTCAATTGGGTCATCCTAAAATGGACCTAATAAGGAAAGCTTTTGATGAATTCAAGTTAACAGGTCATTGAAAGGTGGGATTATTTGATGACAGACATGTTATGATTCATTTGGCTAATGAAGAAGAGTATGCATGCATTTTCTCTGAGAAGCTGATTAACATTAAAGGAAACCAAATGAAATTGCTGAAATGGACCCCTGAATTTGATCCTTTCAAAGAGCTCCCTATCATTCCCATTTGGTTTAAGCTTCCTGCCTTGAAACTGCATTTCTTTCACCATAAAGTCATATTTTCAATTGGTGCACTTTTGGGAAGGCCTATGAAACTTGATATCTTAACTTTTAACTTTACTAGGCCCTCAGTTGCTCGAATTCTAGTGGAAAGGGATATTACACTCCCTCCCATTGATGAAGTTTGGTTGGACACTCAACATAATGGGTATTGACAGCTTATAATCATGGAACAAAAATCTTATTACTGCTCACATTGTAAAATGTTTGGCCACACTGATAAAAAATGTTTTAGGATCCATCCCTCCCTCAAATCTACAAAACACACTCATCTTCTAGCTGAAACAAATCCTAATTCTTTTGCTCCAATGAAAGTTGCTAAACCTACACCAGATTTGGATACTGAGGTTGATCATGGGGAAACACCTATGTTGGTTCAAACTAATAATAATCCAGATAATTTAGAGCCACATACCATTTCCCTTGTTGAGGCAGTTGTGACTAAGTTACAAGAATTGCCTCTACATACTAACTAGCCCTTGGAACTTCAGATAGATGGCCAGATTGAATCCACCCTTCCAGTTGTGGAGATGCAGTAGGAAATGGAAACTGATTGGCAGATTCAGAAAGTTAAGAGGAAAAATAAGGGGTCAAATTGAGGGGAAAAATTCCTTGGATGATAGTTTGATCATTGAAGCTGGAAGCTCTTATCCCACTACGAGGGAGTCCCTAACCAGGCTCACTAGGGGCAAATCTAAGCCTTCCCATCATGATTAATCTCTTATGTTGGAATATTAGGGGGATTGCCCACTCCTTTTCTTTTAAAAGGCTCCAATTTCTCAATAGAAAGCATAAATTTTGGTGTATGGCCATCTTAGAACCTTTGGTTCATGAACACTATAATAAAATTACAAAGACCTTCCCTGGTTTTCATCATAGGGTCAACTACAATGATAAAATATGGTTCTTCATTAGAAAAGAAATTCAATGTACCATTTTGATCAACCACCCCCAATTCCTCCATCTCTCCTTTGATATGTCAGGTAACACTGGTTTTTTTACAATTATATATGCAGGCTGCTCTAAATAGGACAGGGAAGAGCTTTGGTTCCTTTTGCACTCTATGAGTTCTTCCATTTCTTTTAGTTGGTTGATTGGGGTGGGGGAGGGGGGAACTTTAATAGTGTTGCCTCTCCCACTGAGAAAAAGGGGGGTAGAGCTCCAAATCTAGCCCTCGTGACAAAGTTTAATGACAACATTCAGGTTGCAAGACATTTTGATCTGGGATTTGCTGGATCTCAGTTCACATGGAGGAGGGGACACAGTTGGAAAAGGCTGGACATGTTCCTTGCCAATGACAATTGGTTCCAGTCTTATTTGCTCACTTCTACTTCCCATCTTAATTTTGCTGGATCTGACCATAAACCATTGTTAATCTCTATTAATGGTTATGCTAGTAATGGACCTAAGTCGTTCAGATATGTTAATATGTGGTCCACTCATCTAGATTTTCTCCACACCATCTAAGCAAATTGGAAGGATATATCCCATCCCAATCCTCTTATTAAGCTGTGGTTATTGTAGAAGAAAATAAGTAAAGTACTAAGGCAGTGGAATTGTGACACTTTTGGGGATGTCTACAAATTGGTGGAACAGGCTGAGCTGAATCTGACTCAATTAGAGAATGCCAACAATATAGATGAAGCTACTATAAGATGAAGCTACTATAAATTAGAGAATGCCAACAATATAGATGAAGCTACTATATTTGCAGCTAATCAGAGGGTTCTCACCACCACAGCTTGGATTGAAAACTTCCTTAAAAAGAAAGCTGCCATCAGTAAGTTCACTGAAGGGGATAGAAATACTAGTTATTACTATGCATGTATCAAATATAAGAGGAAATGTAATTTTATCCATAGCATTGTGAATTCTCAAGGGATCAAACTCCATGAAGAGTTTCTCATTGCCAAGGATGCTGTGGAGTATTTCCAAGACATCCTAAATTCATTCTCTACTTAAAGACCCAACTTGATGCC